TAAATATTTTTTTATCAAATGACTATAAGAATTATTATACGAGTTATAGTATTAATTTTCAATTATAATTTGCATGCTTAATTTGTTAAATTTTTATTAATTTAAAAATATCAAAAAAATCATATTAACACAATTAAAAATTGAATGAAAAACGTAAAATTTAATAAGTTCTTACTAAATTACATGTGAGCATCTACGTGACATCATATAAATATCACACAATAACTTTTAAGAGTTGATTTAATAATTAAAAACTTAAAATTTTAAATTAAAGATCTTAAATTCAAGAAAAAGGGAGAGTTATTCTTTTTTGTATATCTCATTATCATCAAATGTACTAAAAAAATACCACCCAATTAGAAAGGTTGATCAAAAGATTAACATCCCATAAGATGGGAAGAAAGTTAATGAAGTAAAAGAATTGATGTTGATTATATATTAGGGTTGTCTAATATATTAGGGTACAATTTTTTTTTTTTAAGAGGGCAACTAGTACATATTTTAGGTGTGATAGGAAATGGGGAATGGGAATGGGATTTCATAGGGCTTGAATGGGCAACCATGACAGGTGATCCTCACTAACCAGTGAGCATAACCATTAGATTAGAGCATGGGGATCAATTTATTAAGGTATTGTTTGATTGTATATTAATGATTTTTTTCTTAATTTATATAAAAAATACAAAAGTTAATTTTATTTTTTGTATCAAAGAGGCATACATGATTTTAATTAGATAATTAATAAAATTGAAGTTAACTCCTTTTTTAATAATTAATGAGAAAAGAGTACAATTAATATACCCTTAATTTTTTTATATATTGAATGATAAATTATACAAAAGAAAATAGTCATTCCGTTTCCAAACCCCTCCATATCTATATTAGAATTTAAATTTGAAATATCTAATATGAAAATTTAAACTCTTAATCACTAGTACATCTCTTAAAAAAATATTAATATATCCTTAATATGTGCCCTTAGGCCGCATCATTTTATAACTAATTTAAGTATGTGAAAAATATAAATGGTAATTTTGGTTTAATTAATTGACAAATTAAAATTATTCATGTGACAATGTTATTAAAATAAAAGTTAACTTTTATTTTTTATGTAAATTAATTAT